GGGCCCGCCTCGGGCCTGGCGGGCCGGCGGGAGGCGGCGGCGAGGAACGAACACGGTGGCGACACGTGGCGGCGGCGGGGACGGCCGGACAATGTCCGTCGGCAGATTTTTGTCCGGCGCGGCGCGGGGACGATTTCTAGGGTTCCGGAGGTAGGAGGAGATCCGAAAATCGGGGGGTGTTTAAATAGGCATAGAGGGAGCTAGGAGAGTCCAAATGAGGTGCGATTTTCGGCCACACGATCGTGATCGAACGCTCTAGATGATGGAGCAGAGTTAGATGGGTTTTGGGCCAAATTAGAGGGGTGTTGGGCTGCAACACACACGAGGCCTTTTCGGTCCCTCGGTTAACCGTTGGAGTACCAAACGAAGTCCAAATGGTACGAAACTTGACACGCAGTCTACCGGTAGTAAACCAAGGCCGCTTGGCAAGTCTCGTTCCAATCCAAAAATGTTTAATCCCCACACACGAAAGAAAGCTAGAAATGACCGCCGGAGGAGAACGAAGCGCCGGAATGCAAAACGGACAACGGAGAAAAAGCTCGAATGCATGAGACAAACACGTATGCAGATGCAATGCACATGATGACATGATATGAGATGCATGACAACGACAACAACACACGAAGACAAAAACCCGAACCCGAGGAAATAAATATAACTTAACGCCGGAAACGGCAAGAGTTGGAGTACAAATCGGGAAAGTTACATCCGGGGTGTTACAGACGGCGAGGTGGATCCTGACCCTTGTCGGTGGGAGGGCACCGTCTTTAGATGTTCCTTCAAGTTTTGTTAGGGATTGTGTCTTGCTCAGACGACGGCGGCTTTCTGAAAATTGAATAAGGTTCTCCCCTCCAAGTCCTCGTTCCGGTGGTGCGTCTAGCATCATCGGGGGGCGTGTGGAGGGTGTGTCTCCGGTGGATCTGTCCTTGGTGAATTTGCTTGGATCTTGTCAAAGTTCGCGTACATACGTGTGTCTTCAGGTTGGATCCTTCCGATATATGCTACTCTTCAACAGCGGCGGTTGTTGTCCTGGTGCGCTAGCCCTATGGAGTCTTAGCACGGCGACTTCTCGACTATCTACTACAATAAGGTTTGCCCGGCTCCAGCAAGGGAGGGCGATGACGGGTGAGGAGTCCTGGATTAAGGGGTCCTCGGGTGTCCGGGTTATTCGGTATGGGCCGGACTGATGGACCGTGAAGATACAAGCAGAAGACTTTCCCCGTATCCAGATAGGACTCCCCTATGCGTGGATGGCAAGATTGGTGTCCGAATATGTTATTTCCTTTCCCCACAAACCAACGTTGTACAACCCTAGGCCCCTCCGGTGTGTATATAAATTGGAGGGTTAGTCCGTAGAGGCTATCAGAATTCTCATAGGCTAGACATTTAGGGTTTAGCCATTACGATCTTGAGGTAGATCAACTCTTGTAACCCCTATACTTATCAAATACAATCAAGCGGGACGTAGGGTTTTACCTCCATTAAAAGGGTCTGAACCTGGGTAAACATTGTGTCCCACTTGTCCCTTGTTACCTTCGATCCTCAAATGCATAGTTCGGGACCCTTTACCCGAGATCGGACGGTTTTGACACCGACATTGGTGCTTTCATTGAGAGTTCCACTATGTCGTCAACAGAAGGATTGATGGCTCGATTTGTCGTCGGGGACCATGCTGTTTCCGGAGAAACCTTTCTTCCTGGTCAGCTTCTTTGTGTTTGGCGGCTACGCGTGCCAATTCAACTAGTCACCTCGAGCAGGTCGATAGCTACGCCCCTGGGCAGGGCCTTGTGTCCCATGTGGGTCGATCCGTCTCCCGTGTTCTACTCTTCCTCGTAGGAGACCGCAGCTTCACTTCATCGGTCTTGTCGCCGGTGGTCATGAAGGCGGCGGATGGAGGACGACAAGGACTTCGACGCTGGACGCTGCCGTAGGATAGGTTTAGGGTCGGGTCAGAACATTTTTTTTTTCTAAATGTTCAAAATCTAACGAAAATCCGCCATGTTTGCATGATTGTAATCCGTACATATGAAATCCGCCGTGTTTGTACGATTTTCATTCGGTTTGTTGCCAAAGTGTTTGAAATGTATGCGGACACCGTTGTATGGCGGCCTCCCGCATCATTGTCCGCAGACTGATCCTCTCTCCACGAATAAATGTGGGAGGAAATTTGCGGGTGGCCATTGGAGATGCCCTCATACATCATCCGTAGGAGATGATATGTACTCAGATTGCAAGGGAAAAGAAACACTCCAATAGCATACTGTAGCAATATGCCAGCACGTTTCTAGAATGCAGTGCATAAAGCACGCTGACTCCAAATAAGCAAATAGGCAGAAGAATTTAGGATTCAAGGAAAACGATTTAGGATACCAGACTATTTACAATTCCAGCCTCATTTCCCAAATATTATTCCTGACAGAACAAGGTAATACATACTGATATCCCAGAATGTACCCGGCATTCATTACCCAGCTCAATCCCTTCGGTATAAACCCACCACGACAGTCTCAACTAAACAAATAAGCAGAAGAATCAACAGGTACTACGTCCAGCAATCAAGGAAACAACTATGAAAGCTAAGGCGACATCCTTCGCCATCGTCAGCGCATTTGGCTGCCAAGACGAAACGGTTCAACTACCTCGCCGACGGCCTGGGTGGCCGGGCTTGTGGCTGCTGGCCCGGCGGCGAAGGGATGTGGCTCTGGGAATGCTGTAACATCTGAACCATGGATGGCGTCTGATAGGAGTGAACAATGGTGCTGCTCTCTGTCGAGTCCCCGCGTGTCGTCGCTCGCTGCCAGGAGTGCGAGCTCAGTCCAGATAGCATGTATGCCCTCCCTGAAGCTTCATAGAGCTGGCGACTCGCCATCCTCTCCTGCATCTCCCTCAGCTCTGCGTCAAGGGCCAAGGAAAGACGGTCCCCGCTCCTGCTTGCAAAAGACTCTGATAGTCTCCTCCTGCAGTCCTCCAGAATTGTCACAGCCTCGGCAAGAGCACCCCTCTCAGCAGCAGCCCTCGCAGATTCGATAGAATCAGCGGCCTGTATGCGGTTCCTCTCACGGTCAACCTCAATGGATACATGTTCAGATATGGCGGATGTCGGCCTGTTGATCTTCACCTCATCTACTTGAAGCTTGATGGTCTCATTAGTTAGATCCCTGTAAGAACAAGCAACCTTTAACAGTGAGGTCTGTTCGCGACACTGTGGGATGTTCGCCGACAGCAAAATGTCCCTCTCCTCATCAGCATACAGATGACCAATATCAACTGAACAGCTCCGCCCATCCCTTGCCATCATGCTTGGGTAGCTACCAGATTTGATGGAACAGAGTTGAACACCAGGATGAACACATTCCATGTTGAGTCGCATCTCCTGTACGACAACACTAAGAAGCCCACCAATGCATTGAGCAAACGCATCCTGCATCACGCCTTCATCTTCGATAAAGGAAAATGTGCCACCAGAAGCTTCAGCAATTGAATGCAGGGAGTCTGAATCATGGTCTGCTCCAAATCCAAAAGCATGAATAGGCAGCATACGCCGTGTATCATCCAGAATAGACTGTGGGACAAGTGTGCTATAATCTTTCGGGCCCCCTCGAACATTTGAGCTAAGGTTGTATGTATCTTGCCCGTCAGACAGAAGAATGATGCTGCACACTGAATTTTTATAGCTGCGATCCTCAATCACCTTTGTAGCTTTCTTAAGTGCTTCAGCAATGTTTGTGCCACCACCAGCACCAAGCGAGTTAATAGCCTGCAAAGCCTGCTGCCTGCCATAATGCGACATGCGCTGAAGGTGGAACAGCCTTCGGGCAGAAGATGAGAAAGCAATTACAGAAAGGCGATCAGATGGACCAAGGTGTTGAATCACAAAGCCCATTGCCCGCTTTAGCAGTGCCAGCTTGGTGCCTGCCATACTGCCACTAATATCAATCACTGTGACAAGATCAACAGGAGCACGTCCGCTTGGGGATCTAACTGAGCTTTCATTGACCAATCTGCCTGTGACCTGGTCTGAGCTAGCACTGGGAGCTTTCAGGTGGATCAGGACAGAAAATCCAGCTTGAGATGATGACTGTGGAATGGATGAGAATTCTGGATATGTACTGATTTCTGCAGTCTTCTTAGACCGAGAATTAAGACTGTCAGTAGCTTCTGTCTGCTGTAAAGGTTCATCGTCATTGAAGTCTGTTGGCTCAGAAGTATGTAAGCGACGAACTCCTTGCTGACGGTTTGGAACTTGATGGAGAAGAGCCACATAGGCATCTTGTTGTGGCAATTGGACTCCATTAATTCCACGTCTTCCATCAGGAATGTTGGAAGAGAGTGAGCGATTCAAGGGTATCTCTTTCCACTTTGCCCGGCAGACTGGGCAGACATGATTCCCATGTTTCACATTGGATGAAATGCAGTGAAAATGGAACTTATGAGAGCATTCTGCAGTGAACAAGGCTTGACCATGGCCTGATCTCATAGAGTCAAAGCATATTGCACATTTCCTCTGTTCAAGTACAAAAAAAAATAGAGATCAATATAATTCCATCAAAATCTACCCAAAAATAAATAAATGAACAGCTTCTTGGATGGCACATATATATGTTGTTCTGCAAATGGTCTAAGCTACATTGTAAACTCATTAACTCAAAGGATATCCTACACAAAAATGCAAACTGCAGGCTGTGCTCCTGATCAAATTAGAAGAAACAAAATACATAAACCTTACTAAAGACATGACATTACATCGCAAGTACTCAAATTTCTGTTGTAAAGAGTTCAGTTTTCTTTTATGAAAAGTCGGCGAGCATGCACAACAAAATGTCAGCTCAATGTGGTAGACAGGAAAAGATCGGGAGCTAGACAGGAAAAGAATTGAATTTAGGGTTATTGTGGATGGGCCTTTGGCTAGTTGAGTATGAGCTAGACACACAGTTACATAAACAGAAATTGCGGAACTGTTTCTGTTTCCAGCAGAAACAGCTATTCCGACTACGTATCTTTTTCCAGGGCAAAGTTTCCGCTTAAGCTGGGAATTTTTCTGTTTAAGTTTCCGGAAAATGCTCACCGTTTCCATTTTTGCATGGAAAGGACAAACATTCAGTTCCATTTTGACCCTGCCAACGCTAGCCTACGAAAGGACATTTTTCCTGTGTCTGGGTCTGGTACCACCTTACATACACGATAAAAAGAGAAGACAATGGCACAACTCTATCAAACCACAAATCAAACTCCATTATAAGAACAGGGTAACCAACATCAAGTCTAGCACTTTGTTTTTGATTGGTCCATCACCATCGAGAAAATATAAATGGTTGTGTCAACTATTATACAAAGATAAAGAGGTAGTGTTTCACAGAGATAAAGAGGCTAACTGTTTCATGAATTTGCCAAACCAACTACTACGAGCATACGGAGGTAAATGTTTGTGTCAACTTTTACAAACAAAACCAGGTTAACTATTTCATGAATTTGCCGAAACGAAAGTACAAACCAAGTACACCCTTTGAACAGGGACCAACCGCCTACCACCAAACTTTCAAAGCAAAGAAAAAATCCGGTCTTATCCCCACATGTTGTTATACTGAAGCAATTGACCATTCACTTTGTATATATTATCACCACCATAAGTTTCAACCCCCTATATTTAACTTCAATGGTTTTGCAAATGGTAAAAGCTACCTTCACATGCAAAGTAAACCCGCCAACTCGAAGGACGTAACCTACAAGAATGTAATACACAACAAAAGAACCAAAACAAAACTAGGTGCAGGCTGTGCTGCGGTCGGTCCAACTTATAAAAAAGAACACACAGAAAACATAAATGTTATTACATCCATCAGAAGTAATTCACTTCCTGTTCAACAAAAGTTTATTTGTTACATGGAAAAGCGCACAACAAAACGTCAAATAAAGAGGCGCAATCCTCGTGAGGTCGCTTGCTGAATTGTCATAGTACGTATGGTCAAACCATGCATGCAGTTGCAGTTGCAGTTGCAGTTGGCAGTCAAAGCACATTCACCACAGAAAAATAAATGATATACCATAAACAAGAAACAATTTCATGAATTTGCATCGCTGGTGCCAAGTTGGAGCGTTTGCCATAAATACAGAAAGCTGGTGGTAGGAGGAAAGAGTCGGGGATTTGCTCCACGTGACGGCGCCACGGGCGGGTGATGAGCAAAGGAAGCAAAGCTTTTCGCGGTCCTTTTCAGGGGAGGGGGCAAGTGGAATTCATTAATAGTGGGATGCAATAGGAAAGTGGGCCCACGTCGTACGCAATTATGCATATCCAATGCAAAGTCAAATCTGGATTAGCTTAAAAAGATATGGCGCTGGGCAGATCACGGCTGGCGCAACACTGTATTGGAAGTTTGCTACTACTACTATCTGCTGCCGGGGCAAAGAAGTGAATGGTCCAAAGCCACAACAATACTCCCACTAGTACACAGCAATACTAGTAGTACAGGATTGAAAACAGGGACATGTATGATTCGGAAGGGGCGCACGAAACAAAGCAGCGGCGGCGATCACGAGGACGATGGCTACGCTCGGGATCGGCTGCAGTCTACAGGGGTGGTAATCCACAGAAGTATCTTCTTCCAGGAGCGCTGAACTTGTGAAACGCTTTGAAAAGCAACAAAGTCTAAAATATCTTAAGCATGCAGAAAATCGGTCGTCTACTGGTAACAAATCTTAGGCAGGTCAGGAGAACCCGAAATCCGCGCGGACGGATACGCATCTCGCTATAAACCGGCATTTCAAATCTAATTCAGTAAACGCAGGGCTCCCGATTTTATTTGATTTTGTTTTATTTTGCGTTAGAAACGCGAGGTATTATTACTCGGAAAGCGCAAACGGAAACTGCCTCACCTTGGAGGAGGACCTGCTCCCGGACTTGGACCTCCGCAACGCGCCGCCGCCGCCAGCCGCCGGCTCCTCGGGCGCCGACCCCACCGTCACGGCCGCCTCGCCCCGACACCCGCCGGCGCCCGACGCCGCCGGCCTCCCATCGCCGCCGTCGCCCTCGGCGGGGGCGAGCACGCAGAGACGGAGGGCCAGCGCCCGCTTGGCCTTCCTCCACGCGCTCTCCATCGGGCCCGCCTTGCGCCGCGATCCCGATTCCCAGGCCCGAACCAACCCGGCTCTCCCCGCTCGTCTGGCTCTTATACCGCCGCTATGCGGCCAGGAGGGCTGCGGCTGTGGTGGAATTGGAGGGGAGGCGGCACGACATTAGTGACTGGAGGTGGAGCGTTTGGGTGCGGCTTCTTCCCTTGTGTCCTCTGGCTTGGTTTGACCCGCGGGAGGGAGGGGAGGAGAGGAGAAACGTGCAAGGGATGCCAAGGGAGGGAGGCGGGGCACAGGTCAGCGTGCGGGTTTAAATCCAGTGACGGGTGACGACGGGAACGGGGGTTTGGCTCCTTTCCGGCGTTTCTTTTTTTTTTTTTACAGCAGGCAATCAAGTCGCCGGGAGAGGCGGCGGTGAGGAGGGAGGGAGCGCCCTGGTTGGAGCTGGAGGTCACAAGATATCGGGGGGCGGTGCAATGAATTCTGGGTCGCCCCTGCCAGCGGAGCGGTTGAACGGGGACGGTAGTATATTTAAATATGGATTTTCGTTACATTTTAAAGTTTCTTAGTATTTGAATATTTTAAAGTTTGTTCAGATATTTGACTAGCAAAACGTTAATGGGTGTCAACAAAAAATACGTTGTTGAATTCGTATTTGAATGACTTTTACAATGATGTTGTTTTGGTACGTACAACTTATATTTTAACAGTTAAAATCATGGTCGAAATATGATGGGGACTAGCGAACCAGGAATCAGGAATATTTTACAAACTATAAGGCTCTAAAGGAATTTTCTGTACAAGAATCATATCCTATACAATTTATACAAAATTCTTACGAACCGAAGGAGACCTTAACTAGGCAACTTCGTATTTTTACTCCGCATGTTCCTATTAATATATGATGCACTCATATTGCAAGGTCCAACTTTGACCATCAATCTGACTAACAAAATGTTTGTTACTGTATGTCACAAAAATTATACTAATTAATGAATAATTAATATATTACTGATGCTAATAATGGTCAAAGTTCAATCGCAGAAAACGAGGAGATAAAGACGACGAGAATAAATTATTTTCAACCAACAGCTGGATCCATTTGTAAGCACGAATTATGGCAATAGATATGATATGGATTGGTACAACCCCCTTCTGTCCAAACTCATACCCACAGAAATCATCTATACCCACCCACTTCAATACCTGTGGGCACAAATTGACACAAATGCCCCTACCCAATGGATATTCGGTGTGTATAATATATCGCATTACCATATACAAAAGTAGAGAAATTAATCACGTAGGACATATGAGAAGTAGCAGGCCGGTGGGCTACAACTGGTTTCGGGAATCATGGTTTTTTGGTTTTTGGTAGGATCGTAGTGGTTTGATGTTAACCCCGCATGTCATATGATTTTTTTTCATATATTAACTCTTTTTGGGTATCCATTGGGTTACTCACATACACAATTTCATACCAATGCCCTAGCCATATTTTGCGGGTATGGATACCATTACTGGGTACAAATTAAAGTCTCATCCCATGCCCATTGTATTCGGGCAAGTACCCACGGGTACCCATACCAATGGGCAAAACTGCCATCCCTAGACGACTATATGAAATTTTGTCAATAATTGATGAGCCATATCAGATACAACCATGGTAGATAAGGATTTGAGTTGTCCGCCTAGTCGACCGCCATGTCATCCTAATAAAATGGACCCACCGTGTTAGTTCGGGGAAATAATGAATTAGATAGATGCGGCATGAGACCAAAAAAGGGACAATATGGCTACACAAGATCACCCCCTGAGAATAAAGTGTGAAATTTACTCCTTTTGTAAAAAAAATTGTCTACGTATAAGACATAGGACCATCTTGATAACAATATGTCCATGATTTCTTCATGCTCTATCATCTTCTTCTTGAGACGAAGGAGGGAGTCAAAAAGAAAAAAGAAAAAAAAAAGGAGATAAGACAATGAAAAAACTGTACAACAGAGATGTAGAAGGGCCCCAAATGATAAAGACGATGTTCATAATAATCTTCAATTAGGAGATGTGATAGAAAAGGAAGAGATATAAGAGAAGGCGTGGAAAGCACATGAATGGCAACAGTATTGGTGTCATTGGAGATTCTTTAAGGCCCTGCTTGGGATGGGCGTAAATTTCTGCACATGTTTTTATTTTACAGGCGTAAACTATCATCCACATCTCATTTTCCACCTGGAAACAAAACGACGCGTCCAATGCGTATCCTTATCTAGGTGAATACGAGCGAAAACAGTAATCTAAGCGGGCCTAAGTGGTTCCATGTACTTTACGTAAAACCCATGTGTGTAAGCTTACTTTTTTTCTCCTTTTAAAATGACATAAATTGTCCTATTGGTGGAAAGTCTAGCATAAAAAGGAACCGATAGATTCACGCAAATGTTTTATCATTGTGCATTAGAAGGAAACGACAAGATTTTTTTTAGGCTAACTGGCAGGTGTTCTGCCTTTTCATTAAGATTAGGAGTGAACAAAAATTGTTACAAGAAGTGCGGGGGCATGGAAGGAAGAGGGTCCAGTAGCCTTAGGCTCTGGCTGTACATTCAGAATGGCTACGTTTCCTGACTATGGGAGAACAACAAGGATAGGTCATCGGAGGTCAGGCGTGAGACAGCGGCAGCCGAGCTAGAGGACTGCCGAAAGATCCTTCTGTTGCGTTCGTTCCAGACATGCCATGCATGGTAGGCAGCGGCAGCAGCAGCGTGTTTGCTCATGGAGGAGAAGTGGAACCACCATTCTTCAGTTCCCTGGAAGGGAGGCATTGGTAGCAGATGTAGTGTTGGAATGGCAGTTCTAAGAAGGTGCCACACCTCCTTGCTGTACGAGCAATGGGTAGTAAGGTGCAGTGCCGTCTCAGGCTGTTGATCACATAGCACACAGGTCGCCGCTTGCGTACCACCTCTGGTGCGAAGTCTATCAACAGTGGGAATCCTGTTCAGCGTCAACATCCAGGCAAAAAATTTCACCTTGGTCTCCATTCTCATTGACCATATCTTTGCAAGCGCCGGCTGGGCAATGGTACCAAAGAACTGTGCATTATAGGCTATTTTTGCACTGTAGACACCATTAGTCGTCCAATTCCAGCAGATGGAGTCCTCAGTGTTAGATAAAGTGATATGCTGGATGATGCCCCAGAGGTTGATGAATTCATGAAGGGCGTCAGGCGAGTTTAGGTGCTGGAGCCCTTTCATCCACCGGCCATCAATCAATGTTGCAGCAACCGTTGCACATTTACGTGCAGCCAGCGGAAAGAGGTTGGGCGCAATATCTTTTGGTGCAGAGCCATTCAGCCACCGGTTGGACCAGAAAGATGTTGTTGCTCCGTTGCCAAGGGTGACAGTGGTAGATGCGTTAAACAACTGGTAATCAGTAGGGCTGCATGGTGTGTTGGATCCAATCCATGGCCTGGAGGACCTTTCCCAGGCAAACCACAACCATCTGATCCTAAGGGCTCTACTGAAGAGATCCAGATTCTTGATGCCCAGCCCTCCACAGTTCTTTGGGGAGCACACTTGTCTCCAATTGACAGCACAGTTTCCACCAGTTGCATCTTCATCTCCTTTCCATAGGAACCCTCTCCTAATCTTGTCCATTCTCTTGATGAGCCACTTTGGAGGAGGGAAGATAGTGAAGAAATAAGTGGTCAAAGAGGTGAGAACAGAGTTGATGAGAGTTAGCCTGCCCGCCTTGTTGAGGAGCTTCCCTTTCCATCTTGCGAGCCGAGCAATAATCTTGTCAATGAGAGCTTGGAAATCGGCATGTCTCGGGTTGCGCAGCCCAAGAGGAAGGCCCAGGTATTTGCACGGGAAGCAGCATGTTTCTCCTTCGAAATCAGCCAACAGGTAAGCAGTTTCATCAGATTCACAATTGATGGGGAAGGCAGATGACTTGCTGAAGTTGGTGTGCAGCCCGGAGATCTGTCCAAAAATGGCCAAAATGGATAGAAGCGATGCCACCTCCTATTTTACAGGGTTGATGAAGAGAGCTGTGTCATCGGCATATAAGCTGATGCGAAGCTTGGCCGAGCGGAGGGCTATCGGGCTGAGAATATTGGCATCAGAGGCTTTGGAGAGGATCGCTTGTAGAGGTTCGATGGCCAGTAGGAACAGGAAAGGAGATAGCGGATCGCCTTGTCGCGGCCCATGCCTATGGTAGAAGGGGGGTCCAGGGGTTCCATTGAGCATCACACGGGAGGAAGTCGACGCCAACGACAGAGCGATGAGGTCTCTAAATCTCTGACCAAAGCCAAACTGGGCAAGGGCATCCAGAAGATAGCTCCAGCGGACAGAGTCAAACGCTTTCGCAATGTCAAGCTTGATGAAGATGGCCTTCTTTTTACTTCGGTGGAGATTTCTGATCAGGTTTTGGACGTAGAGGAAATTGTCTTGAATGCTGCGGTTCTTTAGGAAAGCACTTTGACTGTGGGAGATGAGGTGTTGCATCTCGGGAGCTAATCTTGTTGCCAGCATCTTGCCAAGTAGCTTAGCCACACTATGTGTCAGGCTGATGGGGTGAGAATCAGATGGACGCAAGGCATTGTCTTTCTTCGGGATGAGGGCAATGTAGGCTGTGTTCAGCAGATTCCAGCAGTTTGCATTGAGGGCAGAGAGTTGGTTAAGTGCAGCCAGGAGGTCCACTTTGATTGTGTTCCAGCAAACCTTGTAAAAAAGACCAATAAAACCATCAGGCCCCGGTGCTTTCTCTGAGGGGGAGTCTTTGATTGCCTTGAGCAACTCGTCCTGATCAAAAGGAGCATCAAGGTGACTTAAATTTGTCCGGGGCAGCTGCAAATAATCCCAGTTCACCGTTTGGGCAGGGGCATCATCGTGGGGGCCAAGGATCCGAGAGAAGTGATTCAACAGAGCCGCCGCCTTGTCATCTTTATCAGAAATTACTGTTCCATTCATGTGGAGGAAGGGGATGTGGTTTTTTCGCCGACGACCATTTGCCCGCAAGTGAAAGAGTCTGGTGTT